CTTAAAGAATCTTTTCATCAAATATAAAGGAACTATTATAGTTAACTCCGTGAGTACCAAGTGAATACGTCAGGGTTATATACAGCAATGATCTCACAAACAATGGGATGTGTGTCTTTCCGCCTCATTTCCTGTTCCTTGTTTGGTTGTGGACTTAGGGCAGATACACACAACCGATTGTTTGTTTTACTCTGAGTTTTATATAACTTGTATCCAATTAGTACTCATAGAAACGATTGTAGAGTCATTTTTACTTATCTTTCATCAAAGCAGGAAATATAGGATTTTCTGGAGGAACATGCAAACTTTTCTAAAACAGAACTTATAACTTACTACAACTTACTTACATCACTAAAATCTTATGAACTCACCAGCTTAAATGCTGATCTACTCTTTCAAAATAACTTGTATTCTCAGGAGACCAGTAGATAGGTACGCGCACTGGGATTCAGAAGATGGAGCAATATAGCTTCATGTCTTTTTGTTATTTGCTATGTATACTATATTATGTGAATCGCATACTTTGTAAACACTTTCTTTCTAATGAAATGGTTGTTTATTACTTGCTTACTATGATGCATGTCTTGTGATACTAAACATGACGTCCTCCACCCCAGAACGTTTCTGTCGTTCCGGTTTTGGGGTGTGACACCAAGAACAAGTAGGTGTTCGTGGTGTTCTTGGTGAAAAGATGAAGATTTGAAGATCTTGAAGGAAAAGTGATGAAATCAAGGATGTGATTTATAGGATTCATATGAACAAGGAGGTTAACTAGCAAAATGGAGGAATCACTTACGTTTTTGAAGAAAAATGATGGATTCCCTTGATGATACTTGAGAGAGAATGGGTTTTCTTGGCTTGAAGATGTGAGAAATGAAGAACAAAAGAAGGAATTTTATACTTATCATGGGAGTTCACGGCTAGGAGGGTGTTTACGGCCGTGAATAGAGTTTACGGCCGTAAACCCCATGTGGTTGGCTTTCTGGTTCGGGTGCAGCCTTCTGATCTCGAGCCAATACTTCATAACACTCAATCCTTAAGTGTACTAGGCTTAGAACACTCGAACAGGCCCCTAACAATGCTAAAAGATAGCAGAAACAAGTCTGGCATTTAATTGGATTGATTGGCTTTACCGGATAGAAATTTTTGGGTTGTCACAATGTTCAACAAATGATCAAGCCATAAATGAAGAATGAGAATAAAAGATCAAAGTAAAGTTAATAAATGAAGAACAAGAAGAATGTTTGAAAGTGAATTGAAGTAACTTAGTAAATGCCAAAAATAAGTGAAAGATCCGTCTCTTAACATTGCATTGAAAGCTCCTTTAAATAGGAGTGTGTGAAGCATGGTACAAACCAATAAACATACATACGACCGGTTAAAAGGAATAATTCTTACATGATGATTGTCCAAGTTGACAAACATACTAAGTCCTATGAAATGTCTAATCATGCAAAGAGACAAAAGTAATTAATACACCAAGAGACAAAAAGCAATGATTCCGGATCAACACACATTTCGGACATAACGTCCATTCCGGAATGTCTTCACTTCTAAACTTCTCATCTTCTACTCTCCAAGTCCGGGCAGATTCCGGACTACTCTTCATTTCGGAACACTAGCTGACTTCGGAATTGACATTTGGACTTATGATTGCTAGAGGTTCACTTTCAGGTTCCAACAAGGTTTAACTGCAGTATCCGACATCCAAATACTTTTATGTTGTTATGATTGTGATATTGTCCTTATATGAATGAGTGTTAGTATACTTCCTATAAAATACTTATATTTTAAAAGTATACTTGTAGTCATAGCTCTTTAGCCCCAATGTATTTATAGTTGTATATCTTTTATGAATTGATATACTGAGTTCACTATAGACAATGCTCTGATACCAATCTGTCTCACCCCCATACCGGAGCGGCGGAAACGTCCGGGGGTGGATGACTTCATGTTAAGTATCACAACACATGCATCATAGTAATCAAAGTACAACAACCATTGCATTAATAATGTATAAGTTTTACATAAGTGTTCAAACATTGTATAATGACACCCAAAATGTAGCATAAACTGAAAGACGTAACTCTAAGCTGCTCCGTCTTCTCAAAATCCTGATAATGTACCTGTCTACTGGTTCCCTAAGAATACAAGTATTTTGAAAAAGAGAGTATCAACATTTAAGTTGGTGAGTTCATAAGTATTTATGTTTATAAGTTATTATTTGTTTCTTGAAGTATTGAGTA